TTTACACGAGCATGACTGATTTGAAGTGAAATTTTTATGCTTTTCATTAAATTGAGCATGCCTACTTGAAATTTAATTGATTGTCTTGATGATCTGAAAGTGATTGGTAAATTATGATTTTTCTATTAACTTCTGCCTATTTTGTCTCCGATATGGTCATGTTATTCGTGTGCCCGTTAATGGGAGGTTTATAAACTCTAGCACATGTCGACATGTTACTGATAGAACCGATTCGTTTCTGTTATCTTGCTAGTGGGATTATATACTAGTAAATCGTGTGCCTGTCAATGGGAGGTTTATAACACTAGCCATGACCTACAGAGGAGACGTCTATTTCGTTCCTGTACTATATCCGTTTTTTGTAATTATACTTGTTGGCATGCTATGAGTTTAATTACGGGCTACCCATATTTTACTAACTGAGTTATCTCACCTCGTTTTTCCTTGCCCACCATTTTAGGCAGTGTGACCCGAGACACGGAAATCAAGGGGAGTGACATGGTAGAAGGCTAGCCACTTGAGATTTGACATAGATTCTAGATATATATACCATGCTCTTGTAAGTTAGATTTTAATTGAAAATTTTATGGTATCAAAACTGGTTTTGTTGAGTAAGTTTCGAGTCTTGTGCACTTATAGGACTCGTCTCACAAGTGTACGGCGTCTATTACGCCCTCAGATTTGGGTTCTGGGGCATGACACAATTTTTATGTAGACCTTGGTGATCTATCCCACCTTATTTGGATAGATGGCGACTCCATCCATTTTAGCATGTCAACACAAGTCTTATAGATAGTCTAAGCAGTTGATAGAAGTTAAAAAGACTAATTATTTAGTAAGTGATAAGTATAAAGATTCACCCACTAAGTTACAAAGTGAGGAGTTACATGGTGGCACTTAATCACCATTATTATTGAATGGAAGAAATGAGATATAAGATGAGAAGTTACATGGGGGAAGGGGCAAACCCTTATAAATTACAACTTTCCTTGATTTACCTTTGAAGTGAGAATCTAAAACTCACTCCACCATTCACCCATTAACCCTCCTTAATAGAGGTGTTGATACCATGCATGGATTATGACATTTGTCCTTCTTTTGAGACCTAGTGTCCTTACTAAGATTCATCCCACCATCAAACTAAAGGTCACATGAGAGATCTTAGGTTTATAAGTGTTAATCCACCGCCCGCTAGTGAAATTTATAGGTCAAAGTGGATAATACCTTATAGTGAAACACAAATGCAATCCTTGGTGTTAATAACTATGTGAGGAAATGAAGAATGTTGAAAGTAGAAAAACTCATAAATGAAAAACAAAATGCTCAATTAACAAATGGATGGTGAGAACAGAAAAATACTAACTGGTATAATATGGACCTTGAAAATTTGTATGCTCTCAAATATGTAACGGTTTTTAAAAAGTAGAAAATGCTAAGATAGCAGAGGAAAATGAAAAAACGAATATGAGCTAAATAAGAAACAATCCAATCAACAACATGCTTTTCGTTTGAGCTATGAAACATTAAAAATCAATCCATTTGTGTGTGTATATATATATATATATTTCTTTTCTTTTCTTTTTTTGAACATGAGGAATTAGGAAAATGGGGATTACAAGTCACTGAGATTCAAACCCTTATCCACGAGGTGAGATGGTGCTTTACAATAGATTAGGTGGCCACTTGGGCCCCTAGGACTTTTCCAATCCATTTGTATTGGCATTAGCAGAGCTATGGGTCCAGGGGTCTAGCCTAGGCCTCTATGGTTAACAAAAATTATTAAATTATTATTATTATTTTAAAAGTTTTAATTTATTTATATAATTTTAGTTTGTTTCTTTTGTCAAGGTTTCATTTTGTTCCCTTAAAATTTTTTTGGCTTCACCACCACTCGGACCAGACTAATTGGTCAACTAGTTGAAATAGAACTCATTTTTAAAATGGTTTGGTTCATAATATCAACCCAGTGTGTAGAGAAACTCAGTCAAAATAAGTCAAACTTAGTCAAAACCCAAGAAACTTAGTCAAATCCTTTAACTATTGAACTGATGAACTGCCCAATTTATAAAATTTTGAAAATCTTTCAAGATCCCCATTCTCTCAATGTTCCTTTAGAGTTTTTTACCACTGGGCCATCAACACCATTAATGTTATTTTTGAATAAAATTTTATTTATTACAATAAATAAATAAAATAAAATATAGAAATGAACTAATTAATTATTTTATTTTATTTAATATTGTTTTTTAACTTAATTCAAGTTAAGGGTATGTTTATGTTATTTTTAGTCATTAATTATTTTCTAAGTCAATGTTATGTGAATCATTTTTATTTTCTTTATAAAAATTAATTACTATAAGGTATAAATAAATTCACAAGAACATGTTAGAAATTGTTTTTAATAAAATAAAATATATAAATTAGTTAATTTCAAAAATAAATAACAAAAATTAAAGTAATTACTTTTAAATTCAAATTATAAATCATACTACTAAACTAAATTAAGCTTTTACTTCTAAAAATTTAAATTTTTTATTTAATAAAATCATAAATAATAATGATTGGATAAGATTCAAAATTTTCAATGTTTAAACATTAAATGAAGTTTGATTTAATTTAATGGTATTGTTCTTTCTCTCTCTCTCTTTTAATAGAAATGGTTTGATGTCAACAAATTTAAAGTAAAACTTTTAACTTTTATAAAATTACATTATTACATTTAATTTTATTGAATTATGAATAAGTTGAAAAAGTTAAAATTTTAACAATAAAGACTATTGAATTTAGTGGTTTGATATTTACATAATTATTGTATGTCTTAAATTTAAATCTTGCTTCTTATTTCTTAAAAAATTTTTAAATGTCATTTCCTTGTATAACTAATTGAATCAGTTAGTTTAACTAATTCAACCTATTAAACGAAATTTGATATTCATAACAGGTCAAATATTAGGTCGGTTCTTAAAACATTGCTATTGCCGCCACCATGTATTGGCACTTCCTTCTCTTGATGGTTGAAGAGAACGAAAAACCAAAGTTGAATATAAAGCAAAATGAAGCCAATTATTTATAATATCATATAAAATAGTAAACTTACAATTACGATATATTATTAAAAAAATATATGTATACAAGATCATAAGTAGACTTATGAGTGAAAAGTCAATCACTTAAAAACAAGTCATTATTGTCCATTTATAATGTTAAGTGACAATGTAACTATAGCTTCATTTGAGATTGATATGAAATACTATGATTGTGATTGTGGTGGTGGTTTTTTAGGTGTTTTACAATTACAAAAGTTGTGTTATAATTAATTGATAATTACATACTTTAAACTAAGTTTTATATATCAATATTATTACTAAATTATATAAAACACTAATTAAAATTAATTTAACTATACTTGTTCAATTTATTTCGAGTAGATTTAATTTTTTTTTGTTTAATAAAATACAAATGTAATAAATTTTTTGATAAAATTTCATATTTATCCCTATTAAGTACCACTCAAATCAAATTTCTTATTTAATATATGTTATAATTATTTATTTAAAATGATGATAAAATAAAAATAAATAAATGATATATTAAAAAAAATAAACAACTAAATTCAAATGTCTCAAATAAAAAATATCTCTATTAAAGTTAAACGAAGGGAAGGGGGCAATAAATTGATACACTAACACTTTTAATGTTAGAAATTGACAGCTGTATTCAAATACTCTTTTTTAAAAATTGTAACAACTAAAATAAAATAAAGGAAGTATTTTTTTAAAATAGAAATTTTTTCATAGCAATACATCATGAAAAAACATAATGAATTTTGGTCATATTTGCAGTTTTTTTTAATCGAAATCACATGTGGGCTTTATTTCATTCCAGTAGAAAATCATCAGAGCATTACAAAACTCTAACCTGTCGGCCTGTCAGCCATTACATAATGCACTATAATATGTGGAACTTCCTTCACCCAGAACTCATCATCATCACTTGTCAATGCTCTCCTTGCCAATTCACGAGCAACACTATTTCCCTCTCTTCAAACATGTTGCTGCAAATATACCTCCACACCAGCCAATGGTGCACGACAATATCTTCAAAAACCATATCCAGCTCCGAAACACCACCCATATGGGAACTGCAGACACACAAGCCACAACACAAGCAGCATCACACCCCACTACCCTTATAAAAAGTAATAAAAGATCTACTGAAATAAAAGATCTACAAATAAGAATTTTGATTTTGTTTTAAGCTCTATTTAGTATGATTATAATTTTAGTTTTTAAATTTTAAATAATTTAAATTAATAATTACAATTAAAAATTAAAAATTAACAATTTATTGAGTATAAATTTTAAGACCTAATAACCAAAACTTCAAATTTAATTTATTTATTTCAAGATTTTTAAATATTTTATAACAAAAACAAAAAACTCAAAATCACAATTATACTAATTAGAACTTTAAATTTTCACTGTTTTTATGATAGAAAGTCTAATATTCATCTGTTTTAGGGGTAACTATTAGGACAAATTGTTACGTTTTATTTATTAGAACAGATTCAATAAAAAAATGTTCTTCACAATATTTAAAGTTTGGGACCTAAATGGAAATCCAAAATAATTCTAAGGACTAACTGTTAATATTTTTAACGACAGATGAGACACTATTCCTGGTCAGTTAATTAATTGAATAGTGTACCTACAAAGCCAAGGATCGTTTCGTTCCCTTATGAGTTCTATCGTTAACCCCAAAACGACGACTCAGCAAAACCAAGATGGAGATTACTCACCAGAATCCGAACCCGACGCAGACTCGACCCGACGAACCAGAACTCGAGCTCTACACCATTCCAGGCCACTCCAGTACGTCCGTCTCCTTCTTCTCATTAAATTTCTCTGCGACCAAACAGGGTTTCTTGATTCTTTTTCTCAATTTTTTCCTTGTTAGGTTGGTTTTCTTGGGATGACATCCACGAAACGGAGAGACTCGCGTTGCAGGAATTCTTCGATGGCAGCTCCATCTCTAGAACCCCAAAAATCTATAAAGAGTACAGAGATTTCATTATCAACAAGTACAGAGAGGATCCTTCCAGGAGGTTGACGTTCACTGACGTCCGCAAATCGCTTATCGGCGATGTCACCCTGCTCCACAAGGTTTTCTTCTTCCTGGAAACCTGGGGTTTGATCAATTTCGGTGCGCCTTCCCATGGCGATAGATTGGAGAACGAGGAGAGGGTTCGATTTGAGGAAGGAGCTCCTAACGGAGTCCGCGTCGTGGCGACCCCAAATTTGTTGCGCCCGATTGCGCCACCGCCTGTTGTTCGGAATGATCGGGAGGTTGTGGAGAGGGGTGTTAGGTTGCCGCCGCTGACTTCCTATTCGGATGTCTTTGCGGATTTGAAGAGGTTGCGTTGCGGTGATTGTGGAGATCAGTATGATTCTGAATACTATGAGTACACTAAGGTACCGTTTTTGGTTCCTTCTTTTGGTGTTTTTACCTAGTATATATGTTGAATTATGAGAGTTTGATCATAACCCTTGTGTTATTAATGTCGAGTTAGTTTGATTCTTTGGAAAAAAAAAAAATTCTAGTAGTTTTAATGTTGTATGCTATCTGCTTTTATGTTAGTCCCAAATGTGATTACCTTAGGTATGTTGTTTACATTGTGCTTCTGCTGAGCTAAAGAATAAAGGTTACTCCATATTGAATTGGGAATGAAAAAATTTATGACAATCAAACTTTGCTGTTGCAATTGCTTTCTACTTAGATAAATTACAAGTGTTTGAAAGAGTTATAGTCTTCCCTTTGCCTTTTGCCAGCATTTCCCAGTTTTCATTTTCTAATTCTCACTTAAGCAGGGTAATTTCACCATCTGTGCAAAATGCTTTGCAAGTGAAAATTTTGGGGAGAACAGGCCCAAGGATGATTTCAAGTTGTGTGATTGTAGTGAGAACAATGGTAGAAATGATGCTGCCTGGACTGAGGCTGAAACTCTACTTCTTTTAGAATCTGTTTTAAAACATGGGGATGATTGGGAACTTGTGGCTAAAAATGTTCAAACCAAGACCAGACTTGATTGCATTGCAAAGCTCATTGAGCTTCCTTTTGGGGAGCTTTTGCTTGGTTCTACCTATCAAAGGGATACTTCCAGTGGTTCCAGTGCAATCACGGATAGTATGAAGCAAGTCAACTTCCCGTCATTGGAGCATCAAGAGAATGCCAAAACCGAGGATCAAGGTCAGGGTAAATCTCATGAGAATATGCATGAGAATGAACTGAATGGAGATACTGAGAGCCTAGAACCTCCTCCAAAAAGAAAACGTGTTGCTTCCTTTTCTGATGCCACTAGCTGTTTGATGAATCAGGTAAGATTCTCCTTTTTTTTTTTTTTTCTGAGATCTTAGTGTTTTCCTGACTGAAATTATACTGGGCTGCAGCTGCATTATTATGGTGTAATGTTTTTCTCCTAAGTTTTATGCACCTTTCCTTTTTAAAAAAAAAAAAATCATTTTCTTGAATAGTTAATTAGTTCATTCAAACCACTGCCATATAAAATTCTTCATGGGATTGTGATGGGACTTTTGGTCTACCACGCTCGTGGCATGTTTTATGTTGAGTGGATATCTTCATAAGATGAGCTACATTAGGTAACCATTGTTTTCAGATGGGAAAAGTGCTGATAAAACCCTATATGTTGCATTAAGTTTCAAATCTATATGTGCTACATTAGATGGTCTAAACCTTATATGAATTCTCCCGGAAAACCTTGTCCTTCAACTGAAAATTGAATCCCCTTCTTCTTTTCCTACCATCCTCCTCTCCCTCCCTCCCTCCCTCCCTCCATACTTCTCTTCATGAAAACACCTTCCCACTATTTTCTCTTGTTGCTTGATTCATTGTCTGTTACTCTAATTTATCTTCCAATCCTTGCCCAACTGAATTTCCCAACTCATCTGTATACTCTCTGAAAACTTTATTCTTCACCTGTCAACTTAATCTTCCATGCTCTGCTTCAATATTACCATCATGATAGATGATGGTGATCAACTCTAGACCA